CTTTCCCTAAGTTTCTTACTTCACTGAAACCTGAATGTGAACCACTCCCTAAGATGAAACCTGAGTTTATGACTTTCAGTCTCAAAAGGTTAGCTAAAAAAACCTTGCAAAAAACCCAGAAGTGCAGTTTCTTGCTGAAAATATGGCCACTTAATCTTTCCAGGTTGGTTATTGGTCAAAATATGCAAAAAACTGTGTAACACTGTGAGATTATACTGCACCCACCTTCAGATTTTAAAAACAGTTTTTGGGAAAAAAGAAACCTGTGAGTAAGTGTATTTGCATTCCTTGGGATTTAACAGGTAAAATTAAATTATTTTCCAAACTATTATTTGAAAATTTAGTGGTATGATCTTTGAATTCCTCATGTATGAACACTCTCCCAGTCCACTGTGGGGAAAATTTGCTGGTTTGTTTGGCTCCTCACTCTGATTTTGAAAAGAGTTCTAGATGGTTCTTCTGGGAAACATGTGCCAGAGTTACGTGAGGGTGACTCCTGTTAGTGTCAGTGGGAACAGTACAACTGAAGCTTTCAAAATATATATTCCACTTCAAGTATTCGAAGTCTGATTTCAATTCTCTTCATTGTGTGATGTTCAGTGGAGTTAATTGGATCCTTACATGGGCGTTTGTTTTAGTTTCACATTTTTTTGTCATCTTCAGTCTCTTAATAGGGACAGTTATTCTTTTCACAAGCAATATTCTAATTGCATGCACCTTAGAACTTATAAGATCTATTTTCTGGTCTTTGCACATCTGTTTGGATCTGAAGTTCTCATAAGAGGATTTTGAAAGCAGTACAGGACTGATCTTGCAAACCTTACACTGGCAAAACTCCCACTGAAGTCAGTGAAAGAATATTGCAGGATTGGGACCTCAGTTCATATCCATTCATCACTTCATGCAGAAAAAAAGAATGTGTTTATTTAACATTTATGACACTGCGTGTAGATGGTTTCATTTTACATTGTCATGCATTGTTCCCATTTTGTCTTACCTTATTAACATTCATATTTCATTCAAGTTCACCTCTTTCTCATCTTTATTACCAGCTACTGTAAATGCTACTACTCCTACACCATCCATTGTCACCACTAACATGCCTGATACTAATAGAAACGATAAGACAAACAATGGTAAGAAATCCTGTGTTACATTTTTCCTTGTACTGTGCCTAGAGAAATTTTATTGTATTTTAAGGTGTGTTTTTCATTTATCATAATGTCAAGGGTCATGTTTCAGTTCTGATCTCATTTACACCAAAATAAGTTGGGAGTAACTTCACTGGACCATGTAAGAATGGTATAAATGAGAACAAAACCAAACATTGTTTATTTGTACTATGTTTATTTACTTGGCTCTTGTAGGAAAGGAGTGCACTTTGTGTCATCCATTGTGTTTACCAATACAGAGAACAAGGGAAGAGAAACTGATTTTTGAAAAGGATCTGAAAAGAACCATGATATTGAAATGTTTTAAGGCTGCAGATTATGAGGCATTGTGTAGCTCCAGCTTGTGCAGCCAGGGTGGCAGTATTCTGGGATTGTCTGCTCCTCACTAGTCAGGAGCAGGAGCCAAGTGGAATCATTCCTATGGAGCAAAGCCACTTCCACTGAGTCAACAGGAATCTTTCCACTGACTTCAAGACGAGCTGGATCAGACTTTACTAGGGAAAATGTTGACAGTATCAGATATCATTTACTTTTCATTTAGAAAGATTAAGGGAAAAAATAAGGTAGCAAAAGAGCCTATTATTAGCACAGAAAAAGATCAGGGATTTCTTTTGAGGCTTTGTCAAATTCTATGATATCACTGTCTCCTAGAGACTGAGCATCATTTTGTGAAGCTCTGCTAAAATATTTATTAGTTTGTTAAAGACTGTTGTTAAATGTTATTAACAACACAGAGATAGATTTTTGCAATTTTCATCTGAGGCTTAGAGATATTTTTTGCAAAATTTTATTTTTTCAGTGTGCTTCACAAAAATAAATTAGAATCTAAGGCGGGTTTAATGGTTTCATGTTTTTTTTTTTTTCCTTCCAAATGCATCAGTTGTTACTGTAGGTTTTTAAATTCCTGGGAGTACTTTATTATCTTGGCAGATCATTTCTTGTACATTGGCAATCAGGCAGTAGACAATGTGAAAGAATTTATCTCAGTTCAGCCTGTTTGGATATAATAAAACGTAGGAGTAAGAAGAAAATTATGAACATTTCTGCCAAACTGTGCTTTTTTTCTTTTTGTGGAGCCACTTACTCTGTCTTCACCATCAGCATTTAACTCTGATTGCTGTAGTCACAGAAGGAACTGAATGCCTTATTAATGTCAGTATGAGTAAAACCTGGACAATTAAGTCCTTTTTTTGGCTTTGAAACTCCCAAGAGAAAGCAGAAAGACTCAGAAAAATAAGCCAAATTAGTTGTCAGTAGAAGCAAATTAAACTTTCACTCAGCTAACTAGTACCATTTTCTGCTCTTGGTAAGTTAATTTTTAGACCCAGACCAGACAACCAAGGATGAGACAGTTAAGTTTCAGGTATTTTCTTTAACCCATTAACTATGTGGCTTACTACACACAGACCTGCAGGAATTCAGACTTCCTGCTACGCTTAACTTCAGAATGAAGAGAAATTCACCTGAATCCTCCCATTCACGACCACAGAGGCAGCAAGAGTCTAAGATAGAAGGGATCAGAACCATAGGAATTATCTCAACCCCAATTATTTGGCCAGTGAAACAAAGGCCTCTCCGTTTCAGTAAAAACTCAGCAGCTGAGAACCCAGAGAGGAAAAACACATACAGTTTGTTTCTTCCAAGTATGTCCACATCAGCTACTTCTGAAGAGATTGACAATGATACCTTGGCTGCTTTTACAGAAAAAATTGACCTAGAAAATACTGTAATACACCGGTTACTGAATGAAAATATTTGGAATTATTCTAGAAGTTCATTTCATGACACTTCTGACGCAGCAGTTGCTGTTACAGACCCTTCTGTGAATTCGGGAGTTCTTCTTCAAAGCAGAAGTCCTAATTCAGAGCTAGCACGGACCTTGGCAGATGGGCTAGATCATTCTGTCTCTGAGTCAGCATTCCGCTATCCCATTAGCAGCAGCAGCACTGCTTATAAACACAAAAAAGAAACTGTGTGGATCTCATCCTCCTACAGCAGCCCAAGTAATTTCCTACATATAAGCAACAGCTTGGAGCCTGTGAGTTGGTGGAGTGAGACTGTGTTTCATCATCATATCACCTCTGACATTCAAGAAGACAGACATCAGTCTAGCTTATCTGTATCTCCTACAGAGAAGAAATCATCATTCCAAAAAAGTAGGCTACATTTGCCAGACTTTGCACCTGGAAATTTTTACCTGGAAATGATAGAAGGCAATGCTGATAGGAAAACTTCTTCCATCTTAGCAGCAGACAGTGAATTTCAGTTTAGAAAATCTATGCATATTAAGGAACATCACTCAGGAGGCATTACAAATTTAACCTCTGTGGAGACTCCACGTGCAAACCCAGCATCTTTTTTACAGAACACAAAAAAAACATACACTAAATTTATGCCTGACATTCAACTGACAAATTCAGTTCTAGGACACAGTAAAGAATTACTAACATTTTCAGCACTTCTGGTAGGAACAGGCTGGACCAGCTTAGCATTTAAGCATGTTGTAACATCCCTGCCTGTTTATCAACAGTCGTTGATTGACGTATATTTGGAAAGTGATAGCCTATTTATATCTAGCAGCAATTACTGGTCTCATTATTCAAAGCATACAGTATCTTTTCAAAAGCCAAGTGAGACCCTCAGAAACAGAGTACTGAAGAACAATTTAGATGTATTTCATAGCAGCAACGAAAATGAAGAGTCAGCTTTTTCCATATTAGAGCCAGAGAATAGGGTTGGCCACTTAGTTTACATGGGTTTTCCAACAAAATATATAGATATTTCCCCTTCTTTAACAGAACGTTTGTGGCCTGTTTCCTATCATTTGAAAGAAACATCTCAAGTGTTTCCTGGGGAGCCATCAGAAAACTGGTGGCTCTCATTTAATAAATTGCTTTCTTCCCCAACAGAGAGATTGCCATCCATTAGTTCACCTCCTAAGCCTGAAAGCATCCCTGAACAAACATCTGCCATCAGATTATTAGGTCCCAGGGCTGAAAAGATTAACCTCTCTAGGCATGCATCAGTTTTGGAAACACAAATCTTCAGTTCATTTATTCTAGGCCTTTCAAAAAGAACTTTAGAAAGTAATGGCAAGACAATATCACAGCTGCAGTCAGCAATGAATTTTGCAAACCTAACTGTGTCTTCCAACAGTGAATTTTATTTTGATTTTCCTTTCCCTTCCCTGGAAGCACCTTTGAGTCTACCTTTTGTACAGGTACAGGTAAGTCCCTTTGCTAAGGTACTTCAAAGCTCCACAAAAAAATTAGTGACATTTGATAGTTTCCACATGCAAATTGGAACTGACATAGTGAGTCCCCAAACCAACGTGACCTTCGTAAACAATAGGCAGCAGCTTGTTTCTCTCCTTCCAACACAATCAGAAACCCAGCCTTCATATTCAAGGGATAACCAAGCTTCTTTCTTGATCAATGCATCAGTTAGGAGTTTGGTAAACAGTACAAGAACACACAGATCACCGCAGGCTCAAAGTCTTTCAGCAAATGATGCTGTAACAAATAGTATTGTTAAAGCAAAAAGTGAGGTTCAAATAGATGCAGGCATTTTTTTAGAAAACATCAATTCAGTGACTTCCAGCTTCCTTACAACGACATTGTCTTTGGAATTAAGGCACCTTCTTCATTCAGACTCAAAATTCAAAGTCAGTGTATCTCCTAACAGCTACTTGATATCTCCACTCCCACAAAGATTTCAGAACCATCTTAATACAATTTCTCCAAGCCTGATCCCTTGGTGGGATGTAGCTGAGTTAAGTTTGCCAGCAACAGTAACATCAAGAAGTCATCTAACTGTTTCAGAACAAAACCCTATTGAAAATCAAGGGTACAGTCTGAGACACTCTCTGTGGGCTGTAGAACAAGAAATCATTGGTGGTAATGAAGACATAAGGAACTCTGCTGTTCTGACATCAACAAATATATTAAGGCCTTCTGAATGGGATTTGGAAGGGGAAGTGTATGAATCCTTTAGCAAGCACAGAGAAGGAATGTCTTCTCTGAATACTGCTACCACTCATGCCTTGGGTTTTGAAAATGCTGATTATGGACGTTTTGCAAATCTCTCCTCTTTTTTGGAGTCATCAAGAACTGCAATAATGAAAGATGTGATACCTTTGCCATCTTCATACAGTGGAGTTATTATTCAGCACAAAGAGACCATCTTGAAGGGCACTCTGATGACATCTACAGCAGCAATCCATCACTCTCTCAAGCAGTCTCAAATGCCAGCTTCTTCTGTAATGTACTATCAATCACCAGTTTCGACACATGTTGATTCCTTGGCTAATTTACCATCTGGAACAAGCCAAAATACCACCTCTTACCCACCACTGAATCAACTTACTAGCTCTCCTGCAGTCTTTTTATCTTGTTTATGTTATTCCTTCACTGAACTGGGCTGCCTGTGTCGTCCTGAGGTCAACTACAGTATGTCAAGCCATAAAGTTAGATGTAGTAAAAGAAACAGGTCATCTTATCTGTGAGATACTTAGTTGGTAGACTGAACATAGAAGTAGCTGGCTCTCATCCTTTAGATATAGATCCATTTAGCATATAAGAAAAGATTTTTGAATAGTAATTTAATTACAGTAGAAGGGAATCTGTAACATCTTAGTGAAAGTAAATATCATTAACCTGTGATTTCTAATTTTTGTGTACTTCTCTGAAAACTCTCACGAGACTGTGAGGACAATAGATTGGATTGGCATGTATTTTATATATTTTTATGCCATTTTATTGTTTGAGATTTTATGAATGTTTGTCTTCTACAATATTTATAAATTTTTGAGGAATTAAATTTCAAAAAACAAAGATAAAAACCCACAAAACCAACTTTGGGGTCATTTGCCTAATAGAAATAAAGACAATCGATCCTGGTATTTCATTGATCATTATATTTTTGTAGTTGGTGGTGGGTGTGAGGAGAAATTGTTTTTTCAGGTTCCTTTTTCCTCTTTTTTTTCAAATTATCTTTGGCAACCTTTCATAAATTTTCTGCCCATAAAAATATTTTTTTTTCATTCAGCATTTTGAGGTGGGATTTCCACTGTTTAATTTGGACAATAAGAAGTCATTTTTAGTTTTCACTATCTGCCACTGCAGTCTCCTGAGAGTGTTTAAGAATGTAGATTAATTCTTTGTTCTTGTTCTTTTTTCACATATTTAAAACATGCTTTGGGTCACCATCTGGTGGAGATCTTAAAGCTGTTGAGTTGTGTGTAGTTCTTATGTTTGATTTTAAAAATACTTTGCATATTCCTATATTAAGATGATTTTGTCCATACACATAATTATATAAATAGGGTTATAATTAGATATATGATTAGATATGAATGTTTGTGAATATATACCATGCATGCTTTCTGTATGTAGCTGTATCATAACACACGTAAAAGGTATCTTACACATACAAAATTTAATAAGTGTATATACAGATGTATATACAAAGAGATCCAAGTCTTGCAAGTCTTTTCATCTCACCCAAAGTCCAATTTTCTACTTCCAAAGACTTTTTAATTTTTTTTTTATTTGAAACTATCATAGTAATAACCAAGTAAAATATATACTCAGAATAAACTGCACACAATTTCTTTTTGTTTGCTGAGTTAAGGGAGGAGAAAAAGACAATAAATCAAAAAGCAAACAGTCTACTCATATCTAAAATTTAATCATAGCTTACCAAATAAAGTAACTGGCAAACCATCTTCCTGCAGGATATTGATTCTTTAGTATTTTATCACACAGGAATTTTCATCATGTCAGTGATCATATGATCAATTCCATATTGAAAAGAAAGAATAATATTCAATCCAGCTCGTGAATAGGGTAGTAACCAATATGTGCAATTAAAGTGAAAAATATTGACTTCATATTTTTTCCAGATACTTTTATTTTAAGCTCCTGTAAGATGATCATCTATAAAGTTGCAAAATGATGAAATTTGCTCCTCCTAGAACAAAAAGTCTTTTATTTAAACTCAGAAAGAGCAGTTCCTTTACAATCAAAAGACAGAAGGGGATCTCTGTATAGTGGCTGTCATGTCCTGTTCTGTCCTATGTCTCTATAAGATTTACGTAATATTTATATAAATACATGTATCTGTGATCAAGGCCCACAGCTTCATTTGGTAATAGCCCTGAAGCAAGCAATGCCACGTGTGTGCATACATGCAAGTGAATTGATCCAGAAGCTACTAAACATTCACCTTCTGGGAAATTTTATCCTATTAAAGCATACAGAATCTTTAGTAGCTTAATGAAAAGAATGTGACTTAATGCGGCTTGTGAAAAGTATAGACTTTTAACACAGAGAAGAACTATGAAATGGTTTGATTTTATTTAGTGGATGTGAAATCTGGTAATGCTGCCTACTGACTCATGAGCTTGAAGAGAATTTATGTTTACCCAGTGCCAATTCAAAACAATTCTATTGAATATAAAATTGCTCCAAGCCTGATGTTTTGTGACTGAAAGATGGTTTGTTCAGCTGCTGGTTGTGTAAAGCAAATGTAGGTTCTTCTACTGTCTGGCCATCGCCAGGCCTGAAAGCAAAGACTGTACTGTGAAAATAAGAGCTGGATATCCCTTCTCCCACCTAATTCTGTCCTCAGTTATCTCGTGACTTTAAGTTGAAGAGCCTTATCTGTTCTCACAATATTTTAAGTCTGATCTGCAGTGGCTGAATTCTTGGTTATAACAATATGACTGAGAGCAGAATTTATTTGTTACAGACTTTAGTAATTATGATTTTTCTTAAATGCATGTCATTTTCATGATCTTGCTTTTACACATTACACTAAAGATATATGCAGAATACTACTTATACATACATTATTTGTGAATTTCCATGTCAGATTTCAAGTGTCTCTAGAAATATGGAGTGGGAGGGAATTGTCTAATTCAACAGGACTAGTGAGAATGGGCCCAAGCCTGCAGGGCTTATTCACTCCAAACTTGCATAACACCAACAAGAGTTGGAAGTGTCCTTGTATCTGGGGTTCAGGCCAGTCTTTATGTTCATCGTGTAACTAAAGTCTCATTATTAAAAAGGTAAATTTGCTCAGTTTCTAAAAATATATTGCTGGTTTTAATGAACAGGTGGGCTATTCTACAGGATATCTATAACAGTCATTAGTTCCAACTCCAACTCAGTGTCGAAAGTACATGATGTGGTTGCAGAATGGGTAAGTTAAGTTCTCTTTCCTTTGTGATTACATATAAGAATCTGTCCCATTGATGTTATCAATGTGAAAATGAAAAAAAAAAAAAAGAGAGAGAGAGAATACTAAATAAAGTATTAAATTAGTATGTGTTCTCTGAAGATCTTTCTATTACTGATTTGTGCAGTAATGAATTCAGGTCTAGCTGGAGCTAGTAGGTACTATGGACGAAATTTTGAAATGTCTCCACTGCACTAGCCAGTAGATGCTAACTGAGATTTTGGAAAGTATAGAGAAATCACAATTGTCCACTGAAACAGGTAGATGTTTAAGTTCCAACATCACTATACAGAGCAAAATTTTTCCCTCCCAATACTAATGTAATTTTGAAGTTATACTGTGATAGAAATAATTAAAAAGCAGGCAGTGTTCATTTGTGTGAGTGAAGTGCTGGGGTCTAAAACCCCAGCCCTGAATGAGGGTTGGCATATGGATAATGTCCACAACTAGGCAGGAATGACCCTCCTGATTGGTTTTCACCCAGGGCCTGGCCAACCTTGGGTGAGGAACCAATTAGGAAATCACCACTAGATGCCCCTGCCTTCGGCATTAGCATCAGGTGTCCTGCCTCTAAAGTTAACAGCATAAAGGCTGGCTCTATCTGCAGTGGATGGTGAGGATTTTTATCTATGTAGTGGTTGTACTGTGTAAGGTTTTGAGCTATTGGAAGGGCTCCCCAACTGTCCATTGTGGGCACAGCTTCCAGGGATGGTGGGACATCAATACAGCCAGGAGCAGAGGGAGGATTGTAACTGTGATAATGGCACTGTTTTATGGCTATGCAATTGAAATTGAACTTGGTCACCTGGCTTTTAGGTTGGTTCACTCCTGTCTGTACTGTATCTTACACTGTGAGCAAATATATCAACCTTCTAATTCCTCTGGTGGCTGGCCACCTCGTATCCCTCATGTATGATTTGGAATTGGAGGGAGGGATCTGGCCTGTGTGATGCCTGTTAATGATAATATCCTTCCTATTGGAGTATATAGTCAGCAAAAGAGTGAGGCAATGAAGTTTTCCAGTTTACCCGAAAATTCTCTATGTTGGAGGTCTTCTGCCACAGATCAGTTGTTGGGGTTTCTAGTAGTCCCTGGGCTTTCAGATGATTTTAGTAGACTTAAACTCCTTTCTGGGCCCTCACTGGAGGATTCTTGAGGATTCTTGCCTCTGAGAGTTCCTCTTGGAGGATTTTTATCTATGTAGTGGTTGTACTGTGTAAGGTTTTGAGCTATTGGAAGGGCTCCCCAACTGTCCATTGTGGGCACAGCTTCCAGGGATGGTGGGACATCAATACAGCCAGGAGCAGAGGGAGGATTGTAACTGTGATAATGGCACTGTTTTATGGCTATGCAATTGAAATTGAACTTGGTCACCTGGCTTTTAGGTTGGTTCACTCCTGTCTTTACTGTATCTTACACTGTGAGCAAATATATCAACCTTCTAATTCCTCTGGTGGCTGGCCACCTCGTATCCCTCATGTATGATTTGGAATTGGAGGGAGGGATCTGGCCTGTGTGATGCCTGTTAATGATAATATCCTTCCTATTGGAGTATATAGTCAGCAAAAGAGTGAGGCAATGAAGTTTTCCAGTTTACCCGAAAATTCTCTATGTTGGAGGTCTTCTGCCACAGATCAGTTGTTGGGGTTTCTAGTAGTCCCTGGGCTTTCAGATGATTTTAGTAGACTTAAACTCCTTTCTGGGCCCTCACTGGAGGATTCTTGAGGATTCTTGCCTCTGAGAGTTCCTCTTGTTTGAATACAGATACACTCTGTCCTTTTTGACAATTCATATAGTGGCACTCACGCAATCTGTAAGTAGTCTTTATACTAGCTACTCACATGAAAATATCATGTTACAAATACATGGCAATTACTCTTCTTTTAGTAAACTTGGAGGCTTTCATCTTTCAGAAGCTAAGGAAACCACTTATAGTCATCTACAAATCAGAAATGCAGCCATCCACACCTCCCAAGGTTGTTCTCTTGGCAGCAGTAGCCAGACAACATACATAGGTGCCTGAGCCAAAGAATCTAGAAAGGTGTCACTTGGCTTTAGCAGAGTATTCAAAAGTGTCTCCCAGGGGGAAAGGTGAGAAGCCATTGCTCACTTGGAATAATCATAGAATCCTTTAGGTTGGAAGGGACCTCCAAGATCATCAAGTCCAACCATTGAGCCATTAGGGCTCTAAAGTCCTCTGCTAAAACAGATCAGAATCTGTCAGGGCTGGAAGGGACCACAAGGATCACCCAGTTCCAACCCCTCTGCCATGAGCAGGGTCAACTCCCACTAGATCAGGCTGCCCAGAGCCTCATCCAGCCTGGCCGTAAAGACCCCCAGGGATGGGGCCTCAACCACCTCCCTGGGCAACCCATTCCAGGGTCTCACCACTCTCATGGTGAAGAACTTCTTCCTCATGTCAGGGAAAAAAAGACCATCATAAGGTTGTAGACTTTAAGGTGAAAATTGATGCTGTAGTTTTGTCAGTAAATCTTTTCTAATCAAAGTGTTTCTGAGAATTTAAGATGAGGA